GGAGAAGCCATCTTACAGAAGCTGGAGGCCTTGATGTCCTTAAGCATCATTAATTAAAGAAAGATATGGAATGAATATAGTGCTGACAATTAGTGTGTTAAGCAAGTTCACAGCACATCTAATGGAACAGGAGTCAGGGGACTCTGGTTTCTGAATCCCAAATTGCTTTATCTGGGCAACAAACATCCAGGACAGATATCAGGTCTTCCTGCATTGCATGTGAAGTGTTCACTTTAAGCTACACTGGCTTTATCTTTAGTTTTTAAGCACTGGTCTTTTTTTTTTTTTTCCACTCTGGTCCTTTTTCCATTCTAAGTTGCACTTTGGATGAAGAACCACTATTTTCTATTTTGCAGCTGGAGTACCATAGCAAATTGATGCCTAAAATTAGTTAAAAAGCACACTTCCATTTGGGCTTGCCTATTAGTTTGACAGGTTTCAAAATCTATTTCCCTAAAATAAAATTTCTCCAGAGGTATCTATTTCCTCTGTTGATTATAAGAGAAACTTAGATGACAAACTCAGATGACAACCTCAGACATGAGTTTCATAACTTCTGGATGTCTCAGATTAGGTTAGATGAGTCCCACCTCAGGTATTCACTCTAAGTCTATTATTGAGTTATCCATTATAATGGGAGAGGCATGTCCAGAAGATGATATTGCCCAGAATATATCCTAGCACAGAAAAAGTGAAGAATGCACAAATCTCAGGAAATGTCTCTCTATCCTTTCTGCAGGGATGCCAGAATATGTAGAATAGGTCACAAACTTTCAGATTGTTAAAGATAAGTCAAGCACATAACACTTTTCACTTCTTCTCACCCCTGTGCAGGAAATGTAGACAGTACAGTTCTACTCCTTCCAAGAATGAATTCATAACCAAAGAAATTCCGAGTTTTCACAGTGGGTGAGATTTTTTAACCCTGTCTATTTTCTGGGTACAATAATAGCTGTGGTGACTTAAATATGTGTGATTCTGCCCCTCTATTCCACTCTCTTGAGACTCCTCCTGCAGTGCGGCATCCAGCTCTGGGGGCCCAAACATAAGAAATACATGGACCGGTTGGATTGGGCCCAGAAGAGACTCCAAAGATGCTCAGAGGACTGGGGCATCTCTTCTGTGAAGATAGCTGAGAGAGTTGGTGTTGCTCAGGGTGGAGAAGAGAAGGCTCTGGGGAGACTTCATAGCACCTTCCTGTGCCTCAAGGGCTACAAGAGTGCTGAAGAGGGGCTTTTGACAAGGGTCTGGAGTGACAGGACAGAGGGGAATAGCTTCAGACCAAAAGAGGGCAGGCTTAGGTCAGCTGTTAGGAAGAAATTTGTTATGTGACGGTGGTGAGATAGTGGAGCCTGCTGCCCAGAGAAGCTGTTGGTGCTCCTTCCCTGGAAGTGACCAAGGCCTGCTTGGATAAGACCTTGATCAACCTACCCAGTTGGAAGTGTCTCTACTCCTTCTAATAGACATGTAGATGATCTTTAAGGTCCATTTCAATCCAAACCATTATATAATAGTTTAAATGAAATTTTGGAAAGTTTGTTCTGTGCGGGAGGATGGACAAGACCACATCTTTGGTTAGTAAGATGTGTTCTGCAGAATGACTCTTCTGCAATTTGGCTGTTGTCCAGATATGAAGACATGAGGAGAAGGATAAAACCAAGCTGAGGATGATGCCTAGGAAGGAGCATGACTGACAAATCATGATAATATTGACATTGTCTTGACTGACAAGAATGATAATATTGTCCACAGTGATTGAGAATGAAGGTGGGGGATAGAAAAGACAGGTTTTGGGTGGAAAAGTGCAAGAGCTCTGTTTTATACATATTATTCTGACAGCTGAACATCCACCAGGAGATGCTGGAAAGATGGACCAAGATTTTGGGCTGGACAGGAGTCAGTCCTGAAGCAGAGAAATTAGATCTGCAAGCTGTCATGACAGCAATAGCAGCTGAATTTGTGTTGGTGGAAAAGGCTGTTAGGGACAAGGCCTGGATGAAGAAGAGAAGAGAATGATAGGAAGATACCTGTTTATGTGTCCCCATATGGATGGGAAACAGAGACAGGAGGGGACGGAGAAATCACACCTAAAAGTACAGGACATGTAAGTATTGTAAATATATTATAAATACAAGCAAAAGTACGTGAAGATTATGATCTCTTATAAAGGATGATACAGAGACCCAGTAAAAACAGTCTCATAAAGTTGATAGAAAATATGATCTAAAAAGACAAAAAGGGAGCTCTCTTGACATGTAAGTATACAAGGAACTTTGTGCCTGCTGAAAAGTAGGGGATTTTGGGTAGCTTATTTCTAAAGGAAATTGATTGTGTAAATATTGGAAAGATTTAGACTTGGTGGACTCTTAAGAGAAACAAGTGCCTTACATAGAGAACTGGGTTTGTAATGGCCGATGGTCAGGCACTTGTCCAAGGTAAGGTTAATTGAAAAAAAAAACAAAACAAAAAACCGGAACTTTCATAAAAGAAAGTTGACTTTTGAAACTATTAGGCAACATATGTTGTGTGAACAGGAAATCACAGTAGAGCAATAATCCTGACAGCTGTGGAGAAACAGGAGTCTGCCACAGGAACGAATGGCTTGAGACCTGACAAGAATGATGATGGATACCCTGCTGGTGGAACACGAGGACAATCCAAGAGATGCTGAAATTGGCTGAGCCACAGGAGCAACGTTGAGTTGGCATCGCAGCCGGACAAATGGGGCTAGTCCTAGTGGTGAGAGGAATGGAAGGGGGCTGAAGGAAGATGGCAGAAATGCTCCCCTCCTTCTCAAGCACAATGGGCTGCATCGGCATCTCACCACGAGGTGGCTGCATTTCCCTGTGAACGTCCAAGTAACTGAGCAATGGTACAGGCCCCGAACTACCATGAAAACAAGAATGGGCACAGAGATCCTGGCAGGATTTGGCCTATCTCATTCAAAGAGCCTCAAAAATTTTGAGCCACTATGGGGAAAAATCTGCTGTGCTTCACATCTTCATTGAGTCTTGGTTACTCTGCAGGTCCTCACAGGTCTGCAAAGATATGATAGCAGTGTTGTGCCTGCTTGTAGCTCATGGGAGATGCAATGCCATGTGACTTAGGTTATAGTGAACAGGAGGAAATTAATTTCCTCCTTGCTTTTTCTGTGAACTGTTAGTATGTACTGTGAGGTTCAGCCAATCCATGGAAATCTTGTGAAGCTGTGGAAACTTATTCTGAGTCTGGGATGGTTACCTAGTAAAGGAGAAATTGTGTTGCTTGTACAGATGCCTAGCTCTGGTTATTAAAGACTATTTCTATAGCAGTGTTTGAGTCAGATAAGTCAAGAGGACAAATGGTCGCATAAAATTGATCCATTAAGTGGCCAAGTTCTCAGGTGTTTTGTATATCCTAAGCTCAGGTGGTACCACCAGGATGGAGCCATAAGTTGTTTCCAGGTGGCTGTGAGATGACTATATTTTTCTAATCCAAAGTGTTCTGAAAGTAGGAAGGGCAAGGCTTGGAGAGGAATAATTATATTTTGGGTATACTAGATCTAGAGCAAATCTTTAACTCTCCTTGGGTTTGTCTGTTTTTTCATGTCTTCCTTTTGCCTTTGTCACAGGAATTTGCAGGGGTTTTGGGATGAGGACTGGCTTTTTACTAAACCTTTTTGTGTCACCACACCCTACTGAATTGAAATTCTTGATGTTAGCTTATAGACACTATCACTTTGGGTCAAAGTTTGAAAGAAAGTCACTAAAAGTAGCTCTTTAACCTGTTTCAGGAAAGATGTCCATAATATATCAGTATGGTATGTCAGCATCAAGCCCAACATCTGTTTTTTTAGGAGGAGACTTTTCAGAAGAGACTCTTAAAAGTATTTAAGTACTTCAAAAAATGGAGACCCCATATTTGAGGAGACTATTTTGGTACCATCACTGGTAAACATGTACCATTTTTAAACTGATTTGTCTAAGATGGGGTTCCAAAAAATGAGATCTTGATAGTTTGCTAGTTTTAGAAACCTTTTTGCTTGTAAAGAATTTTCCTTTTTCATCCCTGCAAAGATCTAGAGAAAATCTGTTGGCCCCACTTTAAACTTATTTGGATAAATTAATGAATTTACATTAGAGACTCTTACTGAAAGGGAGATTTTACACTCTCAAATATTTTAAATTGAGCTTTCCTGTATCCTTTCCAAGTTGTCAACATGCTCCTTAGCCTTCCATGATTTACACTGTGAATAATTAGTGATAAATATAATACACTATTATACTAAACCAAAACAAGTTGTACCAGATTTTCTTCTCCTACTGACAGTGGAATGTCTTATATCCTTCTCTTCTCATCGTGGTGTACTAATAGCTATTTGCATAGATATACAACCCCATTTCTATTTAAGTGAACAATCAGTCTCGAAACTGCATATGACTAGATATTTCCTGGAAGAATCAGTAATTGGTTTTACACACTTTCAAAGTGCAGATGTAGGGGTACAAACTTATGCCTAGGTTGGCACTTTTGTGGTAACAGAGACAGGCACCCATCGCTGTTGTGATTTGTCTCTAGCCCCTACTACCATGATGTGAACATGCTTCTCTCTGCTAAGTGCTGGCAAAAAGTTCTTTATCCTTTGTCTAGAGCCAAGGACTCTCTGAGGAGGGAAAATGAAAAAACCCTTACACACCAGTTTCTACTTGATTCATTTCTCTGAAACTTGAAATGTTGTGCCCATGGTGAGTCTGACCCAAACTTTTTGGCATGTGTGAGCCATAAGTCTTTTTATCAGGCCATCAAAACTGCTGGTGACAGAACACAGCACCCACTGGGGTTCTGTGCCTGTGAGGAATGACAGTGCCATCCCAGCCTTTCCTCTGATGAGTTAAGCACACCCAAGGCCCTGGGCCTTCATGGAAGATGAGCATAGATAAATAATTTCTCCTCCTCAATCAGGCCACAGGGCTGCCAGGTCTGACCCAGTTCTCACTTGGCTGAGTTACAGAGCTACTCACCGGCATTGTCTGGCTGCCATGCAAGGCGTTGATAGCAGCTTGGGCCTCTGCATGTGAAGAGTATTTCACAAATGCACATCCTGGAAGAGGAAAAAGAAGAGCATAAGAAAGTTTGCATGGATACCATGAAATTCCATCTAGATAAGTATCCTGTCCTCAGAGCTGACCAATAATATAGTTGTGAAGAAAGTATAACAAAAAAATATGTCCTGGTCCTTTTCCAGAGTCTAGACATCAGCAGCCTGAGGACCTCTTAAGGCTAAGCTGCTTCCAGAATTCCCACATTGCTTGTAATAAATACTGACAGACACAAACTTAGCAAGTACATCTTGAATCCAGTCATGTTGTGATGTCCACAGCTTTCCATGGCAGAATCTTGCACAGATTTACAATTTATTGAGTGAAAAAGCTGTTTCTTTTATTTATATTAGACCTAATGATGAGTGTTCCTCCCTCTGTAGTTGTGAGAAACAACATGGGAGCATTTGCAAGTTACTGGAAAGCTGCAATTCTTGAAACAAGCAACCACACGACAAATGTACAGAAGGCATGCAAGTTACTCCAAACCCACAAGGTACCTTATCATATCACTGCTTGGTAGAGCTCTGTGACAGACTGCCCAGAGCTTCTCTTGGCTCCAAGCCACTTAGGTCTGGCAAAGCATGAGACACCTTCTGGTGAAGTAGCTGAGGTGGAAGAGGTACCCATATGTTGATTACCATCCTGCCACCACTAAAACTTGAATCTTAGTTTTTCATAGCTGCAAAGTCAATGCCTGTGTAGGCGCTCTCTTGTGGACATTAGAGAAATGTGGGCAGTGTTTCTCTGGCCTGTATTGCTGCGTGGAGAATCTCACACTGAATCCTTACATAAGGTTTTGGGGCAGAAAGGTGCATTTATGGATATGTGCTGGAGTGCAGAAATGATCAACACTTCAAAGCGTTACATGCACTTCTAGGGTGGGGGAAAGTATTGCCAACACTCCCAGCTACAAGTAAACTGACTCATAGATGGGAAGGGTAATTTCCATATGCTAAGGCAGTTTCTGGAACAGATTGGGAGAGATCTGAGAAGTTTTGGCTTCTATTACTACCAATGACTTTTGAGCTTTTAATCAATTTGCAAAGCCCTCTCAGTTTTCCTGAAGGGGTGCAGATTGCAGGGCAATGGGATGTCAATTCTGACAGTGGGATGGCTCCCCTTCAGCCCCTCTGCAGCATGTTTAGAAAGTCTTCACACCCTTTTGGATCTCTACAGTGCAGGGTGAAGTAGAAGACATCCCTAAAATCATCGCTGCAGGCTGATAGAAGTGAGATCGAAGAAAGTAGTGATAGCCCTTTCTAAAAATAATATACACATACAAAATATCTTACAGTTCACTTTGAGTGCTGTTCACTTTGCATCACCCTCTCAGCACTGTGCTCAGGCTGTTATTTCAGGAAAGGCCCAATGATTATTGCTAATAGTTGGATCTAATTTTTAAGGAGCTGAGAAGAGACAATCATGAGAAAATGAGATAGATAAACTTCAGCTGGAAACAATAGGGATCAATTATGACATAATCCCAGCCCAGCATTCCCAGGCTCCTGAGATACTGCGTCTTCCTATTCATTAATCAGAGATAATCCAGAATTAGGGTGTTTAATTATTTGCAGAGATTCTTTTGTACTTTCTGCCTCTAAAAAGAAGATGTGATTAGCAAATATACAAAAGCTTTCCAGTTCCAGTCACCAATTTCATTTAAAGCAGGATTTTTGGCTGTGGTGCTGCTGTCATGTTGAAGGCTTCACTCTTGTCAGGTGAAATTCACCCCTGTGCTGAGGGTCCTGATGGATCAGTGGAGCTAGATAAAGGTGGGAATAAAGGGAATAGCAGGCATTTATCTTGTTTAATGGTCAGGATGCTAATGGGATACCTCCTACTGCTTTCTATTAACTGCTTCCAGTAGGCTTTGAGGTAGCAGGATGAGTGAAAACTCAGTTTTTACTGGTGTAAATGGCAAGGCAATAGCAGAGATCCCAACATTTTGTCCTTTTTGTTTGTGCATTCAATTAGATGGCTTCTGAACACAACACCAGAAGTGCACATAATCTTCCTCCCCATTGTCACCAGACCTGCCTCCAGGAGTGGGTGAGCTGAGGATGTGAGTCATGTCACTCTTCTCTGAAGACTGGTGTCCTTTTGACAGGAGCAACTCTGCAGTGTGAAGGGATTTTGACACACACAGAGATATAACCTCTGCTGAACAGGGTGATACATGTGCTTAAGATTTTCTTGTTCCTTTGCTTCCAGACTAGGGCTGGAAGGGCGGCCCTGATTGTTTTGTCAGCTTGGAGGAGACTGCAGAATCAGGCCCTAGGATTGTGATTGCAGAGGGTAAATCTCTTCTTGTGGAGGGTGATGTTGGAAATATTTGCTTTTTGAGTTATTGAGGCAGAATTCTGAATGGGAAAAAATTAGAAAAAGAATATCTGCACAGACAGCAGCAGCAATGAAGACTCTGTGGGTCCTTCTGGATGCATGTCAGGTCCCTCACCTGAGAAGTCCTACACTCCTTCCTGGACCCAGGTGAGCTTTACCTGGAGTGGTGCAGAAGCACTCCATCCTCTCCCAGGAAACATAGGTGTTGTATTCCCCTTCGGTGAGAAATTCCTCAGTCCCAGCTCTTCTGCCACTTGGTTACCTGCTCCAGCCACTCTTCCTACCACTGCAACTCATGCAGGGGGTATTTCTGCAGACCCTGAAGGCCATGGCCCATGGCTCAGGAGAGCACCCACGACTTCAGGAAAGGCTTAGGCAGCTTTTGGGCCTGGACTGTGATGGGATTAAACTGGGGATCTGCTATCCAGCTTCTGAGAGCAGTGCTTGCACTGAGCTATCTGAAGGGTGTAGAGGCTCACCACAGAGATACCTAGTGGGCTGGCTAGGATTTAAGTGCATGGGATCTGACTGCTATCTCAGAATTTAGGCAATCTGCTTAAATCTCAATTTACGTAGAATTTAAGCCTTACAGGTTTTTCCCAAAATAAGTATCTCACAAGCAATGTGTGTCACATATTGGTTTCTAGCAGATGGAAAACATTAAAGACGGGGAATAAGTTTGTGGGAGTTGTGGCTTGCCTGACTATCTTCTAAGATAAGGGCACTAGCCTTAAGTTTTCCATTGGATTGACTGCTCTGTGTGCATGTGTGCATGCACAAAACCGTGTGTGTGTAAATTAGGAGCTTCACATTCTCAGTAAATAGCACCAGCAAATGGAAGCTGGTAATATTAACTCTGTCAAGGCTTAGTATTGATCCTGAACAGCTCAGTGAAACGTCAGCCTGAGACTGCAGCCTGCTAGCACTAATAATTAAACTGTTTAGCAATATGGAGCTGCCACTCAGATTCTGTCTTAAAATGAAATTGTTTTAGAAGGGAAAAAAAAAGATAGAGCAAGTATGAGGACAAGTCTGTGGGTTGGATATCCTCTGGAATTTGTTTCTTACAGAATTCAGACTTTATTGCCTTTATTATTACTCTGTTTAACTCCTTTGTCATTAGATTTCATTCCAGGTGGAAGCAGACAGACGTGGTTTTCTTTGTTTTTCCCCAGTTTACTGATTTGTTCAGTGAAAGACATGTTTAACTGTCTGCTGTTATGGTGGTTGGAGTGTTTCTAGGACATCCTAGCCTATTACTTCCCTGTGGGCCAGCCCCTGTCTTTGAGTATTGTGGAAATAAAGTAACCCCAAAACTGAAAAATGGTGCCTGCAGCTTATTTTCAGCCATTTATATCAGGAAGGCTGATCTGTGCTGATGTGTGTTGAACAGCTATGAGGCTGGTGTAAAGTGTTTTTTTGGCCACCAGTGATTTTATGGAATAACAATATCTTTCTCCAGTGCACCACTGTAATTTTGATTTTTTTGACTCCCTGTTGCAAAAATGTGCTGGTTGATGTTGTCACTTGTCAAAATATGCAGTGAGATAAGAACTGTGTCATCAGGACTGGCCTCTTCTCTGGTGTTGCACATGCCAACACAGTTTATGCTACATTATATGCAGATCAATATTTAATGGATGCATTAGCTGCCAGGAGGAGAGGGTTTTCTAGTCAGATTGAAGATACTTTGTCAAGAGACTTATGGAAGAAAAATGTGACCTTCCTGAACAAGAAAGAAGCCTTACTCTCATGCCTGAGCTGTAGCAGATATTTTGTGCTACTCATGTAAAAAAAAAAAGTGGCAGAAGGAGGAAATGCACCTAGTTTTGCAATGAGGTATTTGTGTGTTCACACAGTAAATGTGTAATGAGTGTTATATTTAAACTGGCACCTGTACCCTTGCAGCTGCAATCACTGGCCCGTATGAGTCCATGCAAAGACCAGGTGAAGAAGGGGAAGACCTGGGGCTGGTGGATGAGAGCAAAACAGGTGATGATGGAGCTGGAGTGCCAAGAGGTAAAGTACCAATATTGGCTTTCTTTAAAGAACAAGTCATCCTTTTCAATGGGGTGGGGAGAGCACATCTTGAGTGAATGTAAAGGCCCTGTTCAGAGGGGAGGCATCAGTTTGCATGTGGTGACCCATAGCCCACTGGAGATGAGTGTTTTACAATGTGATCAGCTTTTTCTTCTGATGCACAAGCAGAGAGTGACCAGCAGAGTAAAAATGTGCCCCCTCCTAAAGCAAGACGTGCTGTTCTGGGGGCTGCATGATACTTTTGTCACACCAGAAAATTATATATACACGAAGACCAGGGTCTATCTCAGCACAAACCACCCCTTACCTTTGCTGTTGCCATCGGGTCCCCGAAGGATCGTGCACTCCTCGATGTTGCCAAATGCCTCGAATAGCCTGCGCACATCGTCTTCCGACTGCTGCTTATTGAGCATGCCCACAAAGAGTTTTCTGTCTTCTGGAACAAAATAAAGAGATGCTTACCATATTTCAGGAGGGATGTGAAAGTCAAGATGGCTCAGTATCACATGCAACACAAACAGTGACTTCACCAAGGTGACATATCTCAGAAGCTGCTAGTCTTTTCAGGTGTCTAGCTCGAAAAAACTTAACAGCCTCTGATGTCACATGAGCATTTGAATATAATCCAGCAAATTTTGGAAAAAGCAAATCACCAAACAACAAACAAAAATTATTTGGTTATTTATAAAATCATTATCTGCCTCTTAAAATCTAGGCACCAAAGTCTTCCAAATCAGCCTCTTCTGATCAGTTTTTGCAGTCAGTTTGCAGTAACTGAAATGACAACATTACTCAGACTGCAATCCAAGAAAAATGTGATAAATATAGTATATTGGAACTAATTCCAAATGAAAAATAACAAAATTTAGTAGCCCTCACAATACTAAATGAGTTGCAGGAAAAAAATATTTAACATAAGCTTTTTAAAATCAGGATATAACAGAAGTCATAGCCTATAAACTGGAGATTTGTCATTCATGCCCACTCAGAGACATGTATCTACAAGTTTGGATGAGATTTTTAATATAAAGTTAATTTGAAATAAACCCAGATTTTTTTAAATTTAATTTGTTTTTTGAAATATAAAGTTAAGTTATACAATTGTTAATATCTGAGATAGCTCAGGTAGGTAGTATTTCATGCCTAAGCAGGATGTTTTCTGCTAGTGGATAATTGTGTTTTGAAAAAGTATGCTCAGTTTGAGTTAGCACTGTGCACTCACAGAACCAAATGTGTCCTGGGCTGCATCCAGAGCCCCGTGGGCAGCAGGGGAGGGAGGGGATTCTGCCCCTCTGCTCTGCTCTGCTGAGACCCACCTGGAGCACTGCACCCAGCTCTGGGCTCCCAGCACAGGAGGGACAGGGACCTGCTGGAGTCAGCCCAGAGCAGGAATTGGAACTGGATGATCTTCAGGGTCCCTCCCAACCCAAATGATTCTATGATTTATACTTGGGCTTAAACCAAATTTGGGGATCTTCAAGAGACACCTCCAGAAAATATTGGTGAAAACAAATCATTATCAGAAGGATCTCAGAGGGGGCTGAGTGATGCCTTTCAATCAGGTATCTGTTCAAAGTCTACTACCATTACACAGAGGAAAAAAGGAAATTTACATAGTTTACATTGTGTATGTAAACAGGCCATTTGCACATGATTCATAAATGTCTTATTTATGATTCATTAAACACTATGTAAATGTGTGAACTAAGAGGGTTTTCTCAGAGCACGTTACAGAGCAGATGCAACTAATTTGAATAAATATATGTAAATATCTAAATAATTTTTTAAAATTTAATTTATTTTATTAGTGTACAGGTTAACCTAAACCTGAACAAAACACTGGTTTGCAATAACCCTTTTCTGGCTGACTAATTGGGCAATTCATGTCACTTTTGTTCACAGAGAAATCACTGGAGTAGGCAATCTGTTCTGCTTCAAACCAGTGTTTGATCAAAATTCCCCTCTCCAAAATGCACCTGCACACTGGCAAATTATTTTACAGCCTTGGATGTGAATAATTTTTCATGCAGTGGCTATTGAATGACGATATTAGGAGCTTTCAACCCTGCAGTCGAGTTATCCACGACAGCGAAAAGTGTACTGCCCACAGAAAAGCAGGAATTATGTTGCCTTCAACTAGGCTGCTGAACTGGTAGGAAAGATAGGTTTAGAGAGATACAGGTACACTTCTGATAGGTGAGAAAAACAGAAATAGCCTTCTGATAGACCTGTTAAAGTATGAAATATTCCTACTTTATGTTGGAATTTATTATGCAGAGAGGTGTTTTGAGGTCTTCAATGGGCAACAAAATGTTCAGATTGTAGTGGTGCACAAAGCCTCACCTAAAACCACGCAGCTCGTAGGTTGTCCTGATGTCACAAAAAGGTGATTTGGACATGTGGAAGGCGTGTTTTCCCAATGGCCAACGTGTCCCATGAAAAGGACTCCAAGAAGTGAGGTACAAGCTTAGAGAAACAGCTACTAAAGTTCACTGTGTGCTCTGGGGTGTATCTTTCAGTCTAGTGCATGATAGAGCCTTATTGAATGAATCCAGTCCAAAGTCTAAAGCTTTTCCAGCTATTGAAGGAAAACCTACCTAGCCAATGGGACCAATATCCTGCAACATATATTAGGGAGGGGTCAGATCAGCTGGAAAGAACTAGGAACATGATTGGCAAAAAAGGTTTTGCCTAGAAACTTTGTGTCTGTTACATACTTCCAGCACAACAGAAGAGTGTTATTTTGCACTTTATACAGCTTTCCCTGTTTCAAATAAGCTGCATCAGCAAAAACAGTCCTCTAGCTGTGTAACTGTTTTCACCAGTCATTTTGCTAATATAAATGTATCATTAAAAAAAAAAAAAATCACATCCCTCCTCTGTCAGCAAAACTTTGTAGTGTGGAACTGCCTGAAACTGCCTTGTCTGGTCTAGTTTATGCAAAGCTGAAACCAGGTGTTTTAGGAATTGCTCAAAGTATTATTTTTACATCCCCCCACCCTGGATCTTTGGCTGGCAGATGATGTGGTGCTTTGGTGAGCTGCCCATGAGATGGTCATCTGACCATCAGGGGCAGGCTCTGTCAAAGGGAAGGATCATCTCCCCCAGGAGCTGCTGGTCTAGGGGAGATGGCGTGAAGGGGATCCCCATGAACAGCCACTGCTGTGACGTCACCTCCAACTCCATCTCCAAACCAGCATCCTCTCTCCCTCCTGAATAAACACCCTCTGTAGTCAGGGGAATAATTTTTTATATCTGCCCTCTCAGAACTCTACACAATCACACTCTAGACTGATAAAAAATGAGTTGATTTAACAAGTTTTTTTTACTTTCAGTAGTTTCTATAACAAAATGTGGCATTTGTGTTTCACACTCCAGCACTTTCAGGGAACTCAACACTGTGTTTTAAGAACACTCGTCACATATCCTGAATAGAAAAAGGGAGGGAAGAGTCCAGATGAAGGGACCATTTAATGTATTGTAGGCCTTGGCTAATGAGTTTATCCTCTAATGGTCTTTTATGAGCCTGTTACACCCTGGGCATCATCATACACTGTTCTTCCACATCCCAGACAAAAAACTGACATGCCAAAAACCAAGAAGACTACTTATGAATTGTAAATATGTCTAAAAAAATGCTATGAGTTTTCAAGAATAAAATTAAGAGGGGATGTGCTGATGTCATCAAGGTGTGTCTTGAGCATGTGTGCACACCACTGGTGCTCCTCACCAGGTGTTTCCAGTGTCCTCTAGTGGGATTTGAGGGTGCTGCATTGAGTTTTAGGCTACACACAAGTCTGGAACAGTCCCAGATGATATTGCCCTTAAGCTCTTCCTGCCTGTAGGATTCATCTCTACCAACAATAATCCACATATATAACATCCTGAGTCCCATGCTTCCTCCTTTTTCAGTGAGACATTGTTCCCACTACATGTGCCTCAGGATCCATGCCTAAATTTCAGTGCACTGGGCAGACTCAGTCCCCTAACTCCCCCACTGCCAGGCTCAGTGTTCAATGCTATTTCAGACTGTGGGACTGTGGGCCAAAAAATCTTCAGACCAGGCTTCCTAAGACATGGGTCTCCGACAAAAGTGAACACACAATCAAAGAGAACAGAAACATCACTGTCCAGGGCAGAAGAGAAGGATGAAAAGAGGCCAGGCATGAGCCCATGATCTGGAATGTCCCCAGCATGAGCTGTAGACATGACCTTGTGCTCCAACCTAAACTGGTCTGTGACCACAGAGAGGCAGTTGTACCTCACAGTACCACACAGACTTGCTCAATGGAGATGGGCACTCAGGAGGAGCATCCTCCATCTCCTCCCTATGAGGGGAATGAAGACAGTGAGCTTACTCAGCGTGTCTAAGAACAGGTGTGATGAAAGAAATCTAATCCATTTAGCCTCCTCAAGGCCACACATGGCTATGCATCAAGTATACATTCATATCTGAGCATCTTCCCTTTGCTTTTGTGAGGAACAACCTGTCCAAATTTCTCTTTTATATTCTCCCAAGTCACAATTTCAGTTTCTGTCTCATCTGAGCACTTTCCACTAACCTTGCTGCAGCAATGTCCCCAAAACTGGCACCACTATGAGCAGTGATACTGCTCTGTAACATTGCAACTGAATATGGTGTCCATGTGAGCCTCTTCTCCTCATGTCTTTGTCTTCCCTCATCATTGTACACCCCATTATCAGTCTTTTTCTACAAACAGAGTCCTTCATGCCCCGCTTTGCCATGGAAATGTCCATGGGTGGATATTTTTGTGTGTGGTGGCACAAAGGAGAGCTAAGGATGTTTTTGCTGGGGAATTCTGATAATACTGAAAATTAGGTCTGCCCCATTTTTCCATAAATAAATCAGTGACAGAAGGTAGCACTCCAAGATCCTCACAGGAGGATAGGAAGGAAAAGACCACTGCAATGGCAAATCAGAGTTCCCAGAGATGTCCCTTTAGTCACATTTCCAATACCTCTGTGGAACCAGGTTTCCCTCTTCTTGACCACTCTGCCAGGAGTGGAGGCTTGTGCCTGTCAGGAAAAGCTGGCTGCAAGGCACTGTGGTGAAGAAACACAACTTATCAGATAAATATACAACATCTATAGACCTCCCTGTGGTGTTTATATGCAGCCTTGGCACCTTCCCCAGTGCAAATAGGGGTTAAATTATTCCCTGTTCTATTTGTATTTAAATGTTATGTTTCCATGATGAGTGTAAGGCAGAGGTGTCAGATGGGCCCGGGTGAAGGAGGCGGCACATGTGAAAGGTGAAATAATAGAGCGCCGCCGCAAACCAAGTGCTGAAAGGAGATGGGAAGGGGGGACACTGGAGTGAGGGGGAGGAGGGGGAGGATGGGCACTAATTAAAGAGACAGGAGGGACAATGAGATGCAGCATGTTTGACCCTCTGTGGAGCAAGAGGACAAGAAC